AAGAAGGTGGGAGTGAGCTACAGCCTTGAACTGATGCAGTTCATTTGGTGCACCCACAATGATATTAGGGATGCTATTCCAACATTTTGACCCATTGATAGTGAAGGATTGGCAATATATTTCCAAGTCAGGATGGTGCATGGCTTGCAGATGGCAGTGTTTCTGTGTATCTGCTGCCCTTTATCCTTGTAGATCATAGTGGTGATGGGTTTGGAAGATGCTATTAACAAGCCTTAGTAAATTTCTGCCATACATCTTTTAGATAGCACATGTTGCTGCAATTGAACATCAATGATGGAGAAAGTGAATGTTTGTGAATGTGATGCCAGTGAAGCTGGCTGCTTTGTTCTGGATGGGTCAAGCTTTTTGTGTTGTTGGAGCTGCATTCATCCAGATCAGTGGTAAGCATTCATTCACACTCATGACTGGTGCCTTGTAGGTGGTGGACAGGCTTTGGAGAGTCAGGAAGTGAGTTCCTCACTACAGCATTCCTAGTCTCTGATCTGGTTTTGTAGTCACAGTATTTATATGACTAGTCCAGTTCGGTTTATGGTCAATTGTAACTTCCAAGATGCTGATAGTGAGTGATATAGTGATAGTGATGCCATCGAATGTCAGGGCGTAATGTTTGACCATCTCAAACAAGAGATAATCTTTGCCTGACACTTGTATGGTCTGATTATTACTTGCTACTTGTCAGTCCAAACCTGGATATTGGTCAGGTCTTGCTGCGTTTGGATCTGGACTGCTTCAATATCTGAAGGCTTGCGAATGATACTGAACATTGTGCAGTCTTTAGTGAACATCTCCATTTATGGAAGGTAGGTCATTGAAGCAGCTGAAGATGGTTAGACCTAGGTACTACCCTGAGGAATTCCTGCAGAGATGTCATGGAACTGAGATGACTGACTTCCAACAAGCACAATCACTTCCTTTGTGCCAGGTAAGACTCCAACCAGAGAAGAGTTTTTCCTTGATTCCAATTAACTTAATTTTACTAGGGCTTTCGATGCCATACTTGGCCAAATGTGGCTTCTTGCCTCACCTCTGGAATTCAGCTGTTTTGAACCAAACTGTAATGAAGTCAGTTGCTAAATGGTCTTGCCAGAACCCAGACCAAGGGTCAGTAAGCAGATTATTGGTAAGCAAGTGCTGCTTGATAACACTGACGACCCCTTTGATCAATTTACTAATGATCAAGCATAGACTGGGGCATTAATGGCCAAGTTTGATTTGTCCTTTTTTTTTTGTGTACACGATGTACCTGGGCAGTTTTCCACATTTTCATGCAGATGCCAGTGTTGTGTCTCGACTGGAATGGTTTAACTAGGGTGCAGCAAGTTCTGGAGCACAAGGCTACAGTAATATTGCCAGAATGTTGTCGGAGCCTGTAGCTTTTGTAGTTTCCTGTGTGTTTAGCTATTTCTTGATACCACGTGAATCGTAATGCTAGTGATCTCCAGAGGAGGCCAAGATAAATCAACACACCACATCCCTGTCTGAAGATTGTGGTAAATGCTTCAGCCTTATCATGGAGTTGTGAAATTGCTTAGCCTATCTCTTGCTGCTTATGCTGTTTAGGACAAAGACAGTCCTGTGTTGTAGCTTCACTGGGTTGACATTTCATCTTTAGGTATGCCTGGCATGCCTTCCTGCGCTCTTCATTGCACCATCCTGGCTTGATGGTAACGGTAGAATACTAGGCCATGAGGTTGCAGATTTTGTTCAAATATGAATCTGCTGCTATAAACAAGCTCCTTAGACCAGAATAGTACAAGCTCAATGAATTTCCATTAGTAAAACAGCCCGTGAAGTATTACCAAGTATTGACCAAATACAACATGTTGCAAAAAGCAGATGCTTGAGTGTACAATTTCCATAATAATTGAACAAAGACAAATAGGATAAAAGGATGGCTGTGTTAAGTGCATTTAAATTCTGAGAAAGGATGCTCTTGCTCTCGAGGGGGGTTTACCAGGCTGATTCCGAGGATGGCGGGTCTGACATATGAGGAGAGATTGACTAGGTTAGGATTGTTTTCACTGAAGTTCAGACAAATGAGGGGGGATCTCATAGACACTTATAAAATTCTAACATGACTGGACATGGTAAATGCAGGGAGGATGTTCCCGATGGTAGGTGTGTCAAGAACCAGGGGTCACAGTCTGAGGATTTGGGGTAGACCATTTAGAATGGAGATGAGGAGGCATTTCTCCACCCAAAGACTGGTGAGCCTGTGGAATTCATTACCACAGGAAGTAATTGATGCCAAAACAGTGAATGTATTCAAGAGGCAGCTAGATTTCCCACTTGGGGCAAATGGAATCAAAGGTTATGGGGAGAAAGCAGGATTAGGCTATTGAGTTGGACAATCAGCCATGATTGTGATGAACGGTGGTACAGGCTCAAAGGGCTGAATGGCCTCCTTCTACTCCTATTTTCTATGTTTCTATGTAAATTCTTAAAATTGTATTGATAAAGCCCAGTTCTAATGGATTGCATCTATGTATGTTAAAATAATCTGGGGAAGAAACAGCATAGGCATTACTGCTCATTTAAAAATTTGTTAGGGAAAATGTGTGTAGCACAAGAGGACTGACAGATAGCTAATGCAATTCTGTAAAAACTCCCTTTTTTTTATTTTCCTTAGTTGTTGATTGTGGATTGCAGTGGGAAAAGAACTGTTTTAAAAACCAAAGATTGTTGAAAAGCTTATTGCATTTCTTAAAAAGTAAGTTATCAGCACTTATTATAAAGTGCTCTTTAATACTGCTCCTTGTTTAACCAATGGAGGAAGCTTTGTTGCAGGTGAACTAGCACCAAGGTGGGGGGGTGGATAAAGTGAAATTCAGTTGGCAACAAGTAGCTGATTGACCAATGGACTGATGAGTATTTGATCACAAAAGCCTTCTGCTTGCCAACAACTATGTGATTGATGTTCAGGTAGCTGAACAACTTTTGGGTGTGAACAATAAGGTCAGAAGCCATTGGGTCTCTGGAAGGGAAAGCACTGTGCTTTTCTCTGCATTAAGAAAGAAACCTAAAGCAGGAAGACAGCCAGTTTATTTTCCTTCACCAGTTTCTGTAAGCTGCCATTACAGAAACTTGGTTGAGAGAAGGGCAGGACTGACAGCTCAACATTCCAGGGTTTAGATGTTACAGGATGATAAAAAGGGGGGTAAAAGAGGTGGGGGAGTTCCATTACTGATTAAGGAGAAAGTGTAGCTGCACTAAGAGAGGACATAGTGGATATGGGTAGAACTCGGGAATAAAAAGGTGCAGTCACTATGATGGGGTTATATTACAGTCCTCCCAATAGCCAGTGGGTGATAGAAGAAATGATATGTAGAACCGAACATGGAAAGATACAAAAACAACAGGGTTTTTTCAGTGGATGATATTAATATCTCCAATATTGACTGGGACTCCTTTTAATGGGGCAGAATTTTTTGGCACCTCCAGGAGGGTTCCTTGAAACAATATGTAGATAGCCCAACTAGGGAAGGCGTTGTACTAAATATAGTTATAGAGTTATACAGCACAGAAACAGACCTTTTGGTCCAACTCATCCTCACCGACCAGACATCCTTAACTGACCTAATCCCTTTTGCCAGCATTTGGCTCATATCCCTCTCAACCCTTCCTCTTCATATACCCATCCAAATCCCTTCTAAATTTTGTAATTGCATCCACCTCCACCACTTCCAGTAGCAGGAAGTTCCACATACGTACCACCCTCTGCATGAAAAAGTTACCCCTCAGGTTCATTTTAAAACTTTCCCTTGTCATTGTAAAGCTATGGGCTCTAGTTTTGGACTGCCCTACCCTGGTAAAAGGATCTTGGCTATCCCCCCTATTCATTTCCCTCATGATTTTATAAATCCCTAAAATGTCAGCCTTCATGCACAAAGGCAAAAAGCCCCAGCCTTCTTGTATTAGCGAATAAGTCTGGCCAGGTAATCAAAGTTTGAGTGGGGGTGCATTTTGGGAACAGTGATCATAATTCCATAAGTTTTAAGATAGTTATTCTCATCAATAACTATCATGGAGTCATGCAGCACAGAAACAGATCCTTTGGTCCAACTAGTCCATTACAAACATAATCCCAAACAAAACTAATCCCACCTGCCTGCTCCTGGCCCATATCCCTCCAAACCTTTCCTATTCATGTACTTATCCAAATGTCTTTTAAACGTTGCAATTGTACCCACATCCACCACTTCGCCTCATTTTGTTTTTAAATCTCTCTCCTCTCACCTTAAAAATGTGCCCCCTAGTCTTTAAATCCCCCATCCTAAGGAAAAGACAACAACCATTAACTCTATCTGTATAACTCTCATTACTTTATTAACTTTTATCAGGTCGCCTCTCCCTCAGGCGACAGTGCGAAATTGGAGAAGGCTTATCACTACAGTGATTAAAGGCTGGTTGATCAGGTGTGGGCACCATGAATGCTGGTTCCACTTTGAGAAATGTTAGCGGTGGAAAGTTGTTCCAGGGACACCATAGGGGCAGGATGCACACTTAATCAGGTGAGTTTGGTAAGATGCTGAAAGGAAATTCTTACCAAGCCTTGCAGAGAGAAACCCTCTATGGAACCTGACCAAGCTTGCACTGAGTCAACTAACCTTACAATTCAGCCCAATCTCTTCCAAGATGCTTCAACGTTCTAACAGAAACCAAATCAAGAGGCTACATTTTAAATTTAAAGTAAGGTTGCATATTGAGTGATACTAACTCCTGCCATGGCTTTGAATGTTTTCACGTTTTGTTCCAAATCGGTGCCATGAGCTACAGAAGATCTAACGGAAACCAATCTTAGTTATAGAAATGGTCAGAGTGACCCATGAGTTAAGTTATTAACTTTCAGGAAAATAAAAGTGGGTCTTCAGCGATGATAGTGCTACCTTTTACAAAATGTATCCCTTCCGAAGGGAAATGCTGCAAGCTTCCACTGCCGTTGCTGTCAGTATATTGAAGGGTGGAAGAAGCATTCTCCCATTTGAGCGGACAGCAGGAGAGGCTGGAGTTCTGCAGCGGGGCGAGCCACGTGACTCATCTTTCTGCTGTTCAGGCTGAGCTGCTCTCCACTTCAACATTGCAAACAGGGCTGGGAAGGGGAGACCCAGCGAACAGAAACCCACAAAACAATTCACTTCTCCGATCCATTAGTTTTGAGAGAGGAACGCAGAAGCAAGAAACCACTGCCCGAAGTCTCGGAAAATGTGGGAGCAGGCAAGGGCTCCGGCTGGACCGTCCCGCGGACTGTTGGTTAAATCAGGTAATTACAAACATGTATAGGTGAGGATGTAATAGTTTAAGCCTGCCTAAAACACATTGAATATTACTTTTCCATCTTATTGGTTCTTTGAAAAAGGAACTATTTAAATAAAAATGTATTCTTTGAATTTTAAGGCATTGTTTGAACGTTAAGGATCTTGAATAGAGCACAAAAATTTAAGACTAACTAGTTTAACCTGTACTACAGGATGCGATTTTATGATGTCATTTACTTTGCAAAACTTTCTCCTATTTAACAAAAACTGTTTCGGATGTTGAGAATGTGAAGATACACAGACTTTCAAGTGTTTTATTTCCAAACGTGAAAGGGAAACTTGTCTTCTGTAAAAAGAAACTTGTTTTTTTCTTGCCTTGCTCAACGAACACACTCATTCCTACTCCCCAGTGAACACTAAGTACAGAAGTTCCTGCTGGCAGGGTTGTATGTCAAGGCAACACCTTACAGTTACTGTTTGTTTGTTCTGAGGCTGAATGACAAGGGAAACAAGTTCTAACATTGATTTGTGTCTGTGCAAGGGGCAGCCTCTGCTGCACTTGGAGAGATTTTGTACATGAAAGGATAAAGCTGCTGTTAAGTGACCATGGCAACCCTCTTACATGAATGAGAACATAAGCAATTTTGGGGAAAATTGCACTAACAAGGGATGAAAAGTAGCTCTTTTAATAACAACCACATTTTCTTTTCGGAATAAAATAATTGAACTTTTGTATATTAGTGCATTTTTTTTTAATCAATGCAAATGTGACCATGTGAAGAAAAATCACAACTTTACAAAGTTTAATTTTTGTTAACATAGCAATTGAGTAATACTGAATTAAGTGATGCATATTCATGAGCTGTAATCTGCTTTTAATTTCATTCAAGTGGAAAAGTTCACACAGTCACCTAAATTGTCCCCAATAAGTTTTCAGAGACGAATGTTTGGTTGAGTTTGATAGGAAGCTTAAATGAAAGAAATGGCAAGTTTAAGCTCTGCGTCAATTTAATATTTCCAGTTTTTGATGGACATGAACATTAGTTATCAATTATCTCCAATTTGTTTATTTTTTTATATGCTGGAAATACTGAGATAAGAGCCAATCTGATTTTCTTATTTACTCACCCCATTGCTTAAGGGATCCTTGACGATGATGGGAATCCATGGCAAAAGCCTGCTTGTTACTATGGTAATCTGTGATTTTTGTTCTGTAAGCTCTCCTAGACTAAAATCCTTTACAACTGTTACATATATGCAGTATGTATTCAACCACACAACTGAATATCGATTTAAATTTGGATTGAGCCTTGGAATTTCCTACAGAGACATAACCTGGAAGTTTCAACTCAAATTGTGCTGTTTCGTGCTTTCTATCTTCTAATGTCAAATTAGATCTAAATTTCCTGCCTATATTTTTAGTATAGTTGGAACTGCAAAAATGGATGTGCATCGTGAAAAGTGCAAAACCCGCATGTATATTCTGTTTCTGAATTTTGCTAAAGTTTTGCAAGATTTTCTTGGTGCTATTCACATGATATCTGTGAAACAGGCACAAAGATTGAGGAATTTTAAGCATAAATTGCAGTCGGCACAACTTGTGTTTCCACAGTCTCTTGCACTGATTTTAAAACCATCACACTTGATGCAGACCCAATATCAAGGTCAATTAATTATCATTGGAATTTTTACTAATTATACTCCTTTGAAAGCTTCAACAATTTAAGCTGGATCATTCTGGTGGAAGAATAGTTAAACCAGCTACTGTACACCAACCTAATGAGAATTTTTTTTTTAAAAGACAGATAACCAGGTGTAGAGCTGGATGAACACAGCAGGCCAAGCAGCATCAGAGGAGCAGGAAGGCTGACATTTCGGGCCTAGACCCTGGTTCATTACTATATTCACTCCAACAGAAATGTATTTATTAATACATTAATATTTTTGTATTCTGTTTGTTACTAGCTTAAAAAAACAAGTTGTAAAAGCTGATGAGGTGTCATAATAACTTTAATTAACAACCATTCCTTGAGTTTGCAGCAACTGGTTGAGTATACTTCTATCGTACATAGAACTAAAAACACCCCTGCTGAAGTATTGCTTGCATGTATGTTTTAAAATCTATCTCCAGCATCTGCAGTTCCTACTATCTCTGAAACAACTTTTTTGAAAGATACTTTAGTTATTTAGAATTAAGTTTCTCCAGTTGGAAGATTGAATCTAAGTTTAAAATGCCTGCTTTCTAACAATAGACTCATTTTCTATTAAGCAAACTTTACTAACTTATTCATTAAAAAATGTCAAGGAATACTTCCTAAAGGAAAACATTTTAAATGTCTCGGAGATAGTAAGAACTGCCGATGCTGTTCCTGCAGCTCCACACATTTTAAATGTATTGTTTTTGTAACACTGTCAGATTTTGGTCATTCATGACAGAGTTTGCATTTGGTGTTATACAAATAAATTAGGGAGAAACCTGGGCCTGAGTGAAATAATTAAAAATGAGTTCCATATTGGGACCGTATTTAGGAACCCTGATCAGGGAAGCTTTTCTCTTTTTTTATTATGGCTTGTATAAGAACATAAATGAAAATTTGCAAAACAATCACAGTGCAGTGCTAGAAATACAACTTTGTTCCCTGATACACCTTAAAATCAAGTTCAAAATTTGGGAGAGTCTAAACACATGGAATTGCAGGAGCCTGGTATGTGAAGTTCTAACTTAAGGTGGGGTCATTACTATGGGTGGAGAGAGACAAGTATAAATGCTTGAGGAGATTTGGAGGTATTGTTCTTGTGTGCATAAATTGTGCCCAAAATTCCACACTTGTTTAGTAAGCATAATTGCTTTGTTCTAATTGTGCATGTACTGGGGCAAAGATATCAGACCAAATCTTAGTATCCATGGAAAATAGCATAACTACAGAATGAAGCATCATTGCTGTCAGAAATTAAAAAGAGTGACAGCAGTCAAAAAGTAAATGTATCCTGAAATGCCATAGATATCAGTGTATAAGTCATCTGTCTAAGCTTCAAAATTCCTGAAAACTGTCATTGACTTACATCCCAAGTATAGAAGTTCCAAGAACAAGATCATGGCTGATTTGACAGGTCAATGCTATTTCCTGCTTGTATCTGTATCCCATGATATCTTTAATATCTAGAAATCTATCATAGAAACATAGGACATAGAAAATAGGTGCTGGAGTAGGCCATTCAGCCCTTTGACCCTGCACCACCATTCAATATGATCAGGCCTGATCATGCAATTTCAGTATTCCACTCCTGCCTTCTCTCCATACCCCTTGATCCTTTAGCCGCAAGGGCCAAATCCAGCTCCCTTTTGAATATACCTAATGAACTGGGCCCAACAGCTTTCTGCGGTAGAGAATCCTACAGGTTCACAACTGAGTGAAGAAATTCTTCCTCACTTCAGTCCTGAATGGCTTACCCTTTATTCTTAGCCTGTGACCCCTAGTTCTGGACTTGCCGAACATTGGGAAGATTCTTCCCACATCTAATCTGGACCGATCAAGATTTTATATGTTTCTACGAGATTCCCCCCCCACTACCCCATTCTTCTAAATTCCAGCAAGTACAAGCACATTCGATCCAGTCTTTCTTCATTTGTCAGTCCTGTCAACCCAGGAATCAGTCTGGTGAACCTTTGCTGGACTCACTCAATAGCAAGAATGTCCTTCCTCAGACTAGAAGACCAAAACTGCGCACAATACTCCAGGTGCGGCCTCACTAAAACCCTATATAACTGCAGCAAGACATCTTGCTCCGATACTCAAATCATCTCGCTATGAAGGCCAGCATGTCATTAACTTTCTTCACTGCTTGCTGTATCTGCATGCCAACCTTCAGCGACTGTTCCAACATGACACCCAGGTCTCGTTGCACCTCGCCTTTTCCTAAACTGCCACCATTCAGGTAATAACCTGCCTTCCTGTTTTTGTGAACAACTGGATAACCTCATATTTATTCACATTATATTGCATTTAACAAGTATTTGATCACTCAGCCAGCCTGTCCAAGTCACCCTGCAGCCTTTTAGCATCTTTCTCATAGCACACACTGCCACCCAGCTTAGCGTCATGCCAATCACTTGTCTTGAACATATTTAGTGGCTGAGCCTCTACAACCCCCATGAAGAAAATGCTAAAAAAATCACCACCATCTGAATGAAGAAATTCTTCCTTGCCTCAATCCTAAATGGAGACAGTATTCCCTGGTCCTAGACTTCACAGCCAGGAAATCATCCTTTCTTCCTTCCTTCGTTTATCCTGTTGGGCCCTGTAAGAATGTATATGCTTCAATGAGATCATCACTTCTCATTCTCATAAACTCCCATCCCAGGGATCAGTCCAGTGAAATTTCATCAACACCCTCTATGGCAAAGATATCCTTCCTTGGATAAAGAAATCAAAACTCTCCACAATACTCACCAAGGATCTGTTCAATTGCAGCAAGACTCCTTTTACTCTTGTACTCAAAACCTCCTGCAATAAAAGCCAACATATCATTTGCTTTCCTAAATGTTTGCTGCAGCTGCAGGTTAACTTTCAGTGGCTTGTAAGCAAAGACACCCAAGTTTCTTTGAAAGTCAATACTTTCCAATCCCTCAATTTAAGAAATATTCTGCATTTCCATTTACCCTGCTATTAGATAGCTTTAGAATTTCCATATTATATTCCATCTGGCAGCCTTTCACTTACCCTGCTTAAATCCACTTGAAGGTCCTTTTACACCCTTCTTGCCATTCTCATTCCAAAGTAGTCTTTGATCATTAGCAGACTTGGGGATTACATGATTATGTTTGGTCCACACATTTAAATCAAATTATTTTTATGTGGATTGTGTATTGGTGAATACTGATCCTTATGATACCCCACTAGATAAAACCTGCCAATCTAAAAGGAACCTGTTTATTCCTACTGATTTCTCTCTGACAATGAATTCTCCATCTATGACAGTATATTACCCCCAACCCCATGGGTTC